TGCTCCCTCTGCAGAAACACTCTAAGTCAGCCCCTCCTCTGGCAATGAAAACTTCTGTCCTGGATCCCACATCCGGAATAAAGTGCAGGCATCTATTTTTGCAGCCCCCACCCCCCTCAATGTTCCCAGTGCTCCCCAGGAGGTAGCATCACCCACCTTTTGAAAACAATAATAAATGCATTGGCCAAACGCAAACACAGTTTCAGAGTAAGAGGAGCCAGGGGTCTCTATTATCCTCTAGCTAGAACATGCATACATTGCAGGAATTCTAGGCAAACAGATCTAAAAGCCATAAAGTCCACTTTTATTTACAACTGTGGTTCCCAAGTTGCAATGCCTAGGCCAGTAACATCAGCATTCCATGGCTGTGTTAGAAAACGAGGTCTCCTGGGCCCCCCTAGCCATGTGTGAATCTGATACACATGCAAGTTTGTCAACCTCTGACGACATCAACTCAGAGAAGGAGACACCTGGAAATGATGTAAAAGAATGAAAATAAATTGTTCATGCAAACCCAGAGAGATAGCAGTGGAGGGCAGCCTCCGAGTACAGAGACCAGTCTGGGACAGGCCCAGAGCGTATGAGGAACAGGAAGAAGGGCTGAGTCCAGGAGAGGCAGGAGGGGCCACCAGAAGTCCAAGCTTTGCTGAAGACACTGGCAAAAATCAAGACTCCAGGAATTGACAGAATACCAACTGAAATGTTTCGACAAACTGGTGCCGCTCTCTCAGTGCTCACTCACCAATTCCAAGACATTGGGAAGGCCTATGCTGGAAGAGACCCATAATACGTGTCTGTCCCTGAGAAAGGTCATCCAGCGCGATGCAGAAATTAATTAGCAAGCTCATGAATACCATATGGGAGTACATTTTTCCTTAAGATTATTATTTTTTTTAATGTGGTAGCAGTATATTGTGAGGAAGCTTCCAGAAATTCCAGCCAGATTCAAAAGAGCACGAGGAACAAGGGGTACCATTGCTAATGTCAGCTCAATCTTGGCTGAAAGCAGACAATGCCAGAAAGATGTTTCTCATTTTGCTGATTGCGCAAAGGCATTTGACTGTGTGGGTCATAACAAACGATGGAAGAACAGAAAGTCAGAGCACTTCATTGTACTGAGGTAGAACCTATACACAGACCAAGAGCAAGTCCTTCCAACAGAACAAGGGTATACAGACAGCATGGCTTGAAACTTAAACGGTCTGAGTGTGTCGGCATAGTGTTATCCCAGTAGGCATTCAGTCCATACGCTGAGTGAAAACTCCAAGAACCTGGGCGATAGGAAGAAGAAAAGAGCACCAGAATTGGAGGAAGACCCATCACCATGTGCTATGTAAATGCCACCCTTGTTAAAATGAAGAGAACTTGAAGCACTTATGGGTAACGATTAAACATGACTACTTTCAGTGTGGTGGTGGACTCCACCTCAGCATAAATAACATAAGAATCTTCACCATGAGACCCGTAAGCGCCATTATATTAAATCCTCCCAAAGGGACCGGTATCCATAATGATAATGGAGCAGAGATTAAAGTGTTGAGGGTCTTGTGTCCTTGGATTCACAATCAATGAAAGCAGCAGTCAAGAGATCAATTGATGTATTAGTAAAGGTCTCTTTTTACCGCTACGCTTGGTAAGCTGGAGGGACAGTGCAGGAGGAAGGCCCTCAACAAGATGGGTTGACACAGTGGCTGCAACAATGGGCTCAGGCACAGGAACAATTGTGAGGATGGAGCAGGACTGGGCAATGCTTTGCTCTATTGTGCATAGGAGCTGTGAGTTAGAAGCGATTTGATGGCACCTAGCAACAACAACATCATCAACTGATGGGATTGAAGTTCATGCTTTGTGGATGGCAAAATAACTTGCTAACTTTACACTGTAGAGCTAATACTCTGTATAGAGGGTGAAATTACTTAAATCTCATATTTAAATAGTAACATTATCCTTCACCGTATTCTCATGGTTTTAAATAAATTCTCTTAGGTTTCCATAGAAGTCATTTCTTAATATAACATTCCTAATTAGGAAGAAGTGAGTGCACAATTCACTTTAGGAAAATGCCCAAGGAGAACAGCACTGTAGTTTTTTTATGTTAGAAGCCGTAGAGTGCGTCCCCAACCATAGAGACCCTCAGCACAGCAGAACAAAACTCCCACAAACGCACAGCTGGAGTTCTCCTCTGTCCTATTGGGCCACTGTGAGTCAGAGTTGGCTCAAAGGCAGTGAGACAGAGAGAATTCGTCTCAGAAACCCACAGGTGCAGTTCTGCCCTGTCCTAGAGGGTCATGATGGGTTGGAATCGACTAGCTGGCAGTGGGTGAGCCAGTGAACTACCTTCGATCTATCACATACACCACCAATACTTTTCCCTCATATTTGGTTTCTCCCTCTTCCGTGTTGTGGTGTTTTCCGCACTACATATGTGTTAAACGTCTACATCAGAAGGGTCACACTCTTCCATATTTCCGTGAGATGCTTGGGAAACATTTTTCTATCTAAATCTTTTAAAAGAAGAGTTATGCATTTTCTCTAGGTAGTCACAGTGACCACCTATCCCATTTGAGGGGCTAAGACCTTCCCCAATCACAGTGACAGGCGATCAACTCCATGAAGAGCCTTCCTCCCCATGCACCTGTCATCTACAAAGCCACAAGCCACCAATCAGCAATACTTAGTTAAGCCACCGCATCCAGGCCTACAGCCAAGAGTTCTCATTGGGTTGACCATGACAACCCAATGGTGGCCAAGTGAGTGTCAAAGTAGAACTGTGCCCCAAAGGGTTTACGGTTCAGGGCCCTTAAATCCCTTCCAGCTCACAGCGACTGTGTACAACAGAACGAAACATCGTCTGCTCCTGCGCCCTCCTCACAGGTGTTCTGATGTGTGAGCCCATTGTTGTAGTCATTTTCTCAATCCATCTTGCCTAGGGCCTTCCTCATTTTCACTGCCCCTCTAGTGGGTCGGGAGTGGATGGTCTTGTAGAAGTGGATCACAGGACCTTTCTTCTGAGATGCATAGAAGTGGACCTCTAACCTTTTCATTTAGCAACTAAACTTAGCCATCAAAAAAAAAAAACTTCCAACTCAATGCCATGAAGTCAACTCAAACTCATAGCGACTCTATAGAACAGCATAGAACTGCCCAGAAAGCCTCATCTTTCTCCGACTAAGTGGATGGTGGTTTTGAAGTGCTGACCTTGCAGTTAGCAAACTACTGTGTAACCATTACACCACCAGGCCTCACATGGCTATTGTAGGTATATTTCATTCAGTGAAACGATGAGCAAATTTAGGGACATTTCTCAAAGCCTGAAACAACACTGGAATCATCCTCTTGGGTAGACAGAGACTGAGAATCAAACCAACTGCTGTTGCCATGGGCCTCATCCCAGCTAGTACGTAGTTCATTACTGAGAACATTGGCCATAAATTTTGCAATGAACTTGTAGTCTCAATAGTTGCTGACAAGTCCATGCCAACTCATAGCATCCCTGCTGAACAGAGTAGAATATCCTATAGGGATTCCCAGGCTCTAAGCTTTACAGGAAAGGAATCCTTGTAGTGCATTGGTTGGGTGACCAGCCACTAAGGGGAAAGGTGGGTCTTTGAAGGGAGGAGGAGGTGGCAGGTAGCCTGCAAAACCAAAGCGAACCACATGGCCATCGTGTTGATTCCGACTCACAGTAGCCCTACAGGACTAAGTAGAACTGTGCCCCCACAGAGCTTCCGAAGCTGTCATCTTCATGGAAACAGCCAGTCACATCTTTCTTCCACAGCCCTTTGGGTTAGCAGTCAAGCGCTTAATAATTTGAGCCACCTGGACACCTTCCTTAAGCATTACAGATGGAAAAACCTAAAGGGAAGTGCCCTTTAGACAAACTCTGAGTTGGGATTGAATCAATGGCTAGTCGCAGGGAGAGCTCTCATGGGAGTGGATCCCCACGTCCTTTCTTCCACCGAACAGCTGGTGGATTGGAATTGCTACCTTTTCAATTAGCAACTGACTGCTTGACCGTTGAGCCACCAAGACCTCTTTGGTAACAGTTAGCTCTCACGTTATCTGGCAATGGGCTGCTTTTGTTGTTCTTGTTGTTGTCTGTTTCTTTCTATCTTTTTCTAAACATTTTACTATTTCCTTTCTGGTTTATAGTCTTGTCTGCCACTAAAGACTCTAAGTACAGTTCAGTATTCAATTCCTCCTTTGATTAGCCACTCGGGCCGACATGAAGTCCAAGGGAAAGGAATCTGGAGGGATGTTCTTCAATTTGGTTTTGGTTCTTAAAGAAGCACGCCCTATATAGTTTACACAGCCAATCTCCCAAAAATGAAAGCAGCAACAATATCCCTTTGAGTCTCCAATAAATGTGGTTCTCTCTTCCCCCACCCCCCATCCTTCCTCCTCAACATCCTATCCCTCCCTTCTGCCTGCCCCCACCTGGTCTCCTCGTAATCATTAACATCTAAAACCACATCCGGTATGAAAACCACCTTTCTTTGGCTTTGGTTTGTTTTTTCTTTAGAATAATAGTGTGATTAGATATTTATCTTTGTAAGATGACCGAGTGTGCTAAGCATGTTTATTATTGCCTATCTATTTAGTATGCCTCTACCTCTCAAATGGAAACATGGATCAGGTCTATTTGGTGTTGATGTTTCCTTTGAGAAATGCCCCGTGTTCCCAACAGGTGGAAAATGATGAGTTCATTTCATGCAATGCATGCAGGCATCCACTGAAGGACACAATCCTGTTTGTCATGGTGTTAGAAAGGGGGAGGTGGGTAGTAAGCCCACCTTAGAATCGATGCCCTTGATTAACAAAAACTATGAAGATGGGTCAGAGGGGGAAAAATATCAATAGTTCCCCAGCTGGTCATTCAACCAGAAACATGCAAATGCATCAAGACTTTTAAGAAGAGATGATATTAGTTCTTCCTCTGCCCTTTATCACCACCGGGCATGCTTGTGAGTTTTGATCGCTGGTCTCATCCTCCTACACAGGGCATATGGTCACCAGGACAAGCTGCTATCAAGACAAGAGGGTTCAAGTGAATGCCTCCTTCTGCAACCCCAAGACTCGGCCTGTCACAGGGATGGTGTCTTGTAAACTCTCTGCCTGCCCACCCAGGTAAGGAGGCACCAGGTTCACTTTTGCAAATAGCCTTCTTGAGACCTTGGGCTCCTGAGTATCTCAGATGATAACAAAGCGCGGTCTCTGGTTTCTCTGAGCAACAAGGCAAACGTGATGAGAACCGTCTGAACAGGTGGCCTACAAAGAAGTAGGCTGTGGGCCGGGGATCATCCAGGTCTTCCAAAGGATGCAGGGAAGGTTTGTCCTGACCCTGGTGGCATTGTGGCCTATGCGTTGAGCTGCTGACCACAAGGAGAGTCGTTTGAAACCACCCCCTCCCCCCTCAGACTGTAGGAGAAAGAAGAGGCTGCCTGTGCCCTTAACTTAAAGGGGCAGTTCTATTCTGTCCTGTAGGGTCCCCATGAGTAGGGAATCAACTCGATGCCTGTGAGATTGGTTTTAGCTTTTGTTTTCATTTGTTCCAGCTTTGGTCAATTTGAGGCTAGCAATGGGGATGGCACACTATTGTGACAGAAATACCTTCTCTCTTAGCCTGCCATCTCCTGAACGATCGTTTACTTTTCTTGTTGAACCGAAGCTTGTTGTTGTGATTAGGTGCCATGGGGTCTGTTTGGACTCAGAGTAGTGACCCCATAGGCTATAGAAGAAAGCCCTGCCCCATCCTGAATCATCCTCATGGCTGTGGTCATGTTTGAACCCTTGCTGAATAGATGTTTGCAGCTGTTTCCGCCCACTCAGAATCACGCCGCAGCAGCAAATGAAGTTCTCGAAGCTTGACTGTCCCAGGTTTTACTCCATCTGCTGGGTTATGGTCGACGCTACTCTGAAAAGGCAGATCTTTCTCAGTCATCATATTTTGGGTGCCTGCCTTCCGATCTCAGGAAACTTCTGGCACTATCTCTGACAGCCCTCTGCTTCTATCCATGGTGTTTTCAGGAACTGACAAAGTTTTGATGCCATCCATAAGGTGTCCAGTGGCTAATTTCTCTGAATTATTTCACTCGAATTGTCCTTTTGAATTGCGGTGCTGGAGAAGAATGTTGAAAGAACCGTGGACTGCTTAAAGGACAAACCCATCTGTGTTGGACAAAGGAAGGCCAGAGTGCTCCTTAGAGAAAGGATGGCAAGACTTCATCTTACGTGCAGGAGAGACTGGGCCCAAACGATGGCATCATGCCTGGTCAAGTGGAGGATCATGGAACAAGAGGAAGGCCTCCCCCGAGATGGGCTGACACAGCGGCTGCAACGAGGGGCTCGAGCGCAGGAAGGATGATGAGGGCGGGG